TAAATAAAAAGTTGACTGATGACACTATATTAATATGCTATGATTAATTGCATTGATTTTCTATTAAATATTTTAAAGCTCAGTTTAGTCTATATGCAGGTGCTAATTGAATAATACCCCCTCAAAATAACTCAAAATAATGTAAACCATAATACTAATAAAATAGGCTACCTCAGGCCTAAGCCTACTAATTACTGTACTTGCCTTATTATATAATTAAAATTTGCTTGATGTGTACCTGCCTGAGAATTGGTGGTAGTAGTCAAACCTCTGGTTGGTAGGGCCAAAACCTGAAAAATAATATTAATAAATATTAAATTAAAAATCGAATTAACTACATTTGTGTTGTGTTGCCTACATTAAATATCTCTAGTTAGTAGGCCTAGCTAGGCTAAATATTGGGTTCGCCGAGGCCTAAACAGGCGCATAATTAATAAATGCCTATTTGTTGTACTGTATGCACGCTTATCATGCTAGGCCTACGCTGATCCAAATTATGCTAACGAAACGTCGTTAACCATAAATTCCTGCGCGTGCAGATCGCGCTACCCAGGTAACAAGCCCATAAGGAACCCATATGGTGCCCATATGCAGATCTATATGGGTACCATATGTGCAATCCTTGAGGAAACCTCCGGATTCTGCACCCAAGTTCCATGTGGGACCCATATGATTTAGCCCACATAGCCCAGATATAACCCATTTGGGGCCCACATGGAACCCACATTAATTTGTATGTGGGTGGCATATAGGTTTCCTATATGGGACCTATATTTTCTGACCCATATGGGTACCATATGTGCTATCCTTGAGGAAACCTCCGGATTCTGCACCCAAGATCCATGTGGGGCCCATCTGACTTAGCCCATAGCCCAGATATAACCCATTTGGGGCCCATATGGAACCCACATGCATTTTTACATGGGTGGTATATGGGTTTCCCATATGGGACCTATATTTTCCCGATCCATATGGGTAACATATGGGCTATCCTTGAGGAAACCTCCGGATTCTGCACCCAAGATCCATGTGGGGTCCATCTGATTTAGCCCATAGCCCAGATATAACCCATTTGGGATCCATATGGAACCCACATGCACTTTTACACGGGTGGTATATGGGTTTCCCATATGGGACCTATATTCTCCGGACCCATATGGGTAACATGGGCTATCCTTGAGGAAACCTCCAGATTCTGCACCCAAGCCCCATGTGGGGCCCATGTGGTTTAACCCATAGCCCAGGTATAACCCATTTGGGGCCCATATGGAACCTATATTTCCCAACCCATGGGTGGTATATGGGACCTATATTTTCCCGACCCATATGGTTAACATATGGGCTATCCTTGAGGAAACCTCCAGATTCTGCACCCAAGCCCCATGTGGGGCCCACATTTTTCAGAGAACCCATATAGGGCCCACATGGTACCCTTATGCATTTGTACATGGGTGGCATACGGGATTCTCACATGGTACCCATA